CTTCTTCCTTCATGAAAACAAGAGTGGGAAAATGACACCTTCAACTAACAGATTATTAGCTCTTTGAGATTGATATAGATTATGAAGCTAAGAACATAGAGCTTGAAGTTTTAGATCTTACAGTCCTCAGAACAAAGATTGATAGAACAGGTGTTTTTTCATTCATTTATTCACATGTTCTCCAAATACTTAGTATCCCCTGTCTGCCAGGCTGGGAGTTAGGTGCTTGGGCTTTTACAGTTACTAAGACCCTAATTCTGCCATAAGATCAAGTCTTGAGGGAAAGATATAGAAATAGGCAGTCTTCTTTCCCCTAAATCAAATAATTGAATTTTAAAGTAGAACTTTAGAGTTGATCAAGTTCTGTTTTCATGTTCTACTTTAAAAGGCAGTACATAAAGTAAGGGAAAGCACATAGGTTTTGGAGTAAAGTGTTCCCAGAATTTAGTGCAAAAGCCCAGCTCCTGGTGTCCCGCGGATCAGGATTGGCCACCAGTACCATAATACCAGTCAGGGAGATGAGCAACGGGAAAAGCCAAGACAGCTTTAATCGGCATGGCCAGGCTGGGAAACACAGATGAAGAAATTCAAGATCTGTCTTTGAGGGGCTGACAAAAGTTTTGGGGCTTTATGGAAAAAAGGAACAAAGTCAAGGGTTGGTGTTAGCATAGCTGTTACCATAGGTAATCCTGGTCAAATTGTGGTCTAGTTGAGCCATATCTCACGACTGATTCTGCAAGGTTCTGGGAGAATGTTGTGTTTGTATCTAAATGTCCCCCCAAGCCTCATCCAGTCATATGTGGGGCTTTTTCAGAGGTGGCTGAATCTAGAGTGTGTGATTGATTCATAGTAAAGTGCTAGGATTAAATTAGTCCTCTGATTGCTTTGGCACTGCCCTAATCCCAGTAGCCTAGATAGAATATAAAAGGGACAGAAAGAAACTGGTAGGTTTCTGTTTGCTTTGCTACCTTTTGCCTGCTGTGAATGGTTTCTCCTCTGTGATGCATGTCTGCCATGCCACCCTCCCTTGGAGCCAGCTCATTATGGACTGAAACTTCTACAAAATGGAAGCTAAATAAATCTTTCCTCCTTTAACTTTGGGTGTCAGGTATTTTATCTCAGCAATGAGAAAAGTAACTAAGACAGCCATCATTGTTTGAGGGGGCTGTTTGGTTCCTATCATGGGATGATGGGTTTTTCTGGGGGTGGGGGAGAAGTTACCTTCCTGGAGTAACTGTTTCTGCTAGGGCATGGAGAGACTGTATCATGGGGTGGTCTGCAAGGCTCTGCTTTCCCTGGAAGTGGCTGCAGATGTAGGATAATGACTGGAGACTGCATCCAAGGGGGCCTGGGTCTGGATGTTGTAAAAGCTAATAGTTGGATGTCCCTGTAAATCCTGAAAATTACTTTTGTTCCTTGTATCTTAATGTTATCAGTTTTTAAGGGGGATAAGATAGGCTATTTAGGGCTATATATAAGCCTTTTATATAAGTGTATTACAGACACTCTTAAGTGCTTAACATGTCTACATGCAGAGTTGAGCAGCAGTATATATAACCCAACGTTTTAAGGTAATAAATGGAACAAATAATAAAAAATGAAGGCAGAGATGCCAAGCTCCATCCTACTTTTAGTTACCCGTTGGGTATCTGTTGGTCAGTCTCTAGATCCCTGAAACAAAAGCAAGCTTAAGGTCAAATTTTGACTAGAATTACACGTTTTACCTCACCTATTTTCAGTTACTTTGGCTGTATATCAGGTATGCCATTGTCTACTTTACAAGGTGGCATGAGAATTAGCAGGTTAACTCTTAACTCAGCAACTTGGGGCATAGTAGTGATATAGGACAAGTACAATTTCCAACCTGCTAGATGTCAGATAGGCCAAATTCATGTGCCCTGAAATCGAAGAATGAATTCCGTGGAACAACGGAGGTTGAGAATAAGAAAGATTTATTAGAGAGAGATCGCTCCTGGGAAGAGGGGTCCTGAAATTGAGTTGCCACCAAGGTCAGTTCTCTTAAGAATGTTTATAGAGCAAAATCACAAGGTGAGTACAATGTGGGTCAAACTATAATCAACCAATAAGATTACACGTCAGCCACTTAGCTAATATTGATCCAGTAGGGAGGCAGATCAAGTAGCCAAGGGTAGATGGAAAGAATAGAGGTATCTTTAAGAACAAATGGATCCAGATGCCCTGGTTACTCACTTGGGTGCTTGATGTCCATCTGGACTTTGCTGGACCTGGTAATACCAATTATAACTCCAAGTTACTGTTTATCCCTTAGGTGTGTAGCTATGCGGGGGGGGGGGCGACGTCATCCCCCAACCCCCAACTCAGGACCTTGCACTTGAGAGGCAGGTGCCAGGTATGGCTCCACTGAGCTAAATCCCAGGCCTCGGGTCATTGCATCTTTATCTTGAGGCCTGGTCTTCAGATGTGCCTCCAGCCACAATTCTGATGTCTTTATTTTTCTGCTGACTTCCTTAAGAGTCCAGTCTCTCTCTGACGATATATGATATATTACAGCTTCCTGTAATATTAATAGTGTCTTTGTATCTTCCTCCATGAAGGCCAGACTTAAATCTTCACTCCTTCTGTGGAGCTTCTGAGGTCACCCCACATTAAACAAATTTCTTTGTCCATTTTTATAATACATAAAATTCTTTAAATTGTTTAATCCTGCCTAATAGTTTCAGTATACCTTTGCAGATAGTTGATAGTGTCTCACCCTTCATTGCAATCTGCCTAACAATAAATTCTGTTCACAGTCATCTTTGCATTTTCCATAACCTCTAATTCAGCTGTCTACACAGTAAGGCCGACCAGGAAGGCAATATCAAATATTTCTTGATTGGATGGAAGGCCCATGGTTGACAGTGTTTTTCAGCTGATAGAAGCTGTTATAGACCTGGTTGGGAGCCTCCCATCCAACCTCTCCCCATTTCCTCACCTGTTAACACATTTCTCACAAAATCCCTGTATTGGCAGAATAGGAATTGTTTTGAGACAGGATCTCACTAAGTTCCAAGTTGGCTTGAACTTGCCATCCTCCTGCCTCAGCCTCCCAGAGTGCTGGGATTACAGATTGTGCCACCACCATGCCTGGCTATTTTCTTTTTTTAAAAAAAAATTATTGGTACATTTTAGATATATATAATGATAGCATTCATCATAGGGAATTTGTACCTGTACATGTTACATATCTTGATTCTTCTCTTCTCTCCAGTCTCTTCCCTTCTCTTCAAACCTGTCTTATTTATAAAAGCTTTGTTTCTATTTTTTTTTCTTTTATTCTCCTTTACCTACTCTATTTTCAAGTGTATATAGTAAATGTTAGTGGCTGTTAAATTAACTGTTGTTTTCCCTGTAGCTTTGCATCACAGTAACTAGAGATTAGAGAAGTCTCTGGAACCAACTATCTGAAGGCTGATGGATTTGAGTCCTTTAACTTGTATGTAGTAATAAGCCTGAGCTGAGCATGCTGGTGCACACCTGTAACCCTAGCACTCAGGAAGGCTGAGGCAGGAGGATCTCAAGTTCATGCCCATCCTGGGCAATTTAAGGGATTTAGTGAAACCCTCTCTCAAAAAACAAAAAAGGGCCAGGGATGTAGCCCAGTGCAGAGGCCCTGGATTAGTCTCAGCAACCCCCCACTCCCAGCCTCCCAACACACACAAAAGCCTGGACTTCAAGAAAAATGGAGACGTCAAGCTTGCTTGTGAAGGAGCAAGGGAGCTCCAAGCCCTATCAGCTAGAACTAGAAGACATGTTTACTGCTTGCTTGCTTCTGTTTTTGAGAAGTGGAAAGTATAATGTGTGGTTAAGAGGCAAACTTCTGGAGTTGGACTTCTGGGTTCAAGTCTCAGCTCCACATTTCATTAGCTGTGAGGCTGGAATATATGCTGCTGAATTAAGTTCCAGCTGTGAGGCTTGGGGAAAATTTACTTAATTTTTCTGTGCTTCCATTTTCCTTAGTGGTAAATAGAGACTATAATAGACACTAATCTTCATAAGATTGCTTCAAAGATTAAATGACTTAATAGAAACAAAAGAGTTGCAGCAATACCTAGCATGAAATACACTTCACTTTGTACCAAGGTTATCTCCACCCCACATTTCTGGAAATTGATCTGTTCTTAACCATTCTCATCCTGCAGAGGGGAAGTGGAGTAATGTTAGAAACCTGAGGTCAGTATCAGAGTGCTTGAAACATTGTTCTAGCTAGATTAACGTACTGGGCCTTATTCTTGCCTAGCTGTTACTGGCTTAGAGTCTCTATACTTGATGTTGCTTCTTTTGGAATACTCTTCCCTCAGGATTTTGTATGATGTCATCTTTTGAAAAGGCCTTCCCTGACCATTTTATCTGGATTAGGTAGTCTCTTTTTTTTTTTGAGACAGGGTTTCACTGTAGTTGAGATTGACCTGGAACTCACTATGTCGTCCAGGCTGGTCTCGAACTCACAGCGATCCTTCTGCCTCAGCCTCCCGAGTGCTGGGGTTACAGGTTTTATGCTATCACACCCAGCTCTATTTTTTCTTTCCTTACCCTGCTTTAATCTTTATAGCACTTAGCACTATCTGAAATGGTATATTTAATAATGTACCTTTCACTAGGATGCAGTGTATGTGACAGCAGGAACTTTGAATACCTATATTATCCTGTTTATATCTGTTCATGTAGAACCTCTAATGGACTTCTCTGTCTGTTATAGGTAAGCCTGTTCCCAGAGGCAGCTGCTGCTGGCTGACCTGATAACTCAAAAGAGGAAATAGCTGGCTAAGCTCAGCCTTGGTACTGGTAAGTGGACAAAGTCTGGGCAAGCTTGCGCTAAGATACAGGTAGAGTAACTAGTTTGGGGACTATTTTTACACTTATTACAGATAGCATACTGATCACTAATCTACTTTATATCTAAGAGAATGACTCTTAGCAGAGGAGGCCTCCTAGTCTGAGAGGGGATTGAGAATACTTTCCTGGAACTGTCAGTAGAATGCCGGGTATCATTTGCCTTGAGTACGACCAAGCAAGCTTACTTCCTTCTTGCTTCTGCCAGCTTCTTTCTGCTAGAGGTATCCTGGATCTGGCAGTGATACCTAGCCTTCCATATGCTTTGAAAAATTTTGTTTTATTTGTTTATTTAGGGTATGGGGATTGAACTCAGGACCTTGCACTTGTGAGGCAGGCAGCAGCACTGCTGAACTAAATCCCCGGCCCCATGTGCTTTTTCTTTAACATGACCCCACAAGCCTTACAGACTTTCTGACTTCAATTCTCCTATGACTTGCCAAGCCTGGAGGTGAGCCTTTAAGGAAGTGACAGAGTTCTTTAGTCCTGCACAGTGCGATCCTGAATAGTGGTGGGATTGGGTGATAGAGTAGGGCTGTCATGGGTGCACCATCTCTGCAAGGATGTTATAGAGAATCATAAGAGAAGCTCAAGTTGGAAATTTTTGTAAGTTTTAAAGGATCATGAGTGAAACCAGAAAGTAAAGAGAAAGCATTAATTATAATTACGTTGTAGCATCTCAGTCCCTGACCTTTTTGTCACGTTACTTCCCGGAGGTAACAACGAAGGGTTTTTTAGGAATTTGTGCTGTAAATCTTCTCTAGTGTCCTCTTCTTCCTCTGCTGGCCTTACTCACAGCTCAGTCTTTCTACAAGGAAAAGATTTCCAGAGCTCAGATGACAAATTCAGGCAGTACTGGCAACCACAGTTTGCGGCATATGGGCTACAGAGTGCAGGTTTAAATGCATTCAGGCACCTAAGTTGCAAAGCCACTCCTGGCATAGATACTAAAGCAGTTTCCAAGAGCCCATCCTAACATGAATCTGCACTCACTCCTGAGATGTTGCCTTGTTCCCTACTGGCATCCGAGAAGAAGAAAGCTCTTCTTGTTGTGGCCCTAGGTGTCTTCTGCTCCCAGGTCCCTCCCCCACCAAACTGCTAGTGAAAAAGGCAGTTAAGCTGTAGCCACTATGTTATTGAAGGCCATCTTGCTCTCTGTCTTTGCCAGTAATGTAACAGTGGACAAGGGCATTTTTTTTTCTTTCCTCTGTCTGCCTGAGGTATACATCAGAGGAATCTTGTTCCTGTCTGGGGCTCTTGAACTTCACATTATTGTGCTCCAACCTTCCTTCCTACTCTGAATCTCTGGGCTGTTACTGTCATTTCTTTTTTCCTTATTAAAGTTCTGTAGCTTCTAGCCTTTCCATGGCCTTGGTACCAAAGTTGGATCTTATTTTTGCTACCCTGTGAAAAAGCTTCACTTTTGACTATTTTAAAATATGAATGATTCCATATAAATAAGGATATAATACACAGGTATCCATAAAATACATAGCTGATTTATCTAACAGCCTCATTATTCCAGAGCCCACCTGAAAAACAAGAGGGAAACAAATCACTGTCATCCTTATTCCCTTACAGTGGTTCTGATTTATTCTTATTGTCATGTGTTATCATAGGTTTAGCAATCTGGTTTCTAACCCCCTTTAAGATTAAAAACAGCCAATAGAAAAGGAAAGAAGGTGAGAGCTGAAAGCTGGCAGTAATTGGGGAAGGATGCTAAGAAAGAGAAGTTAAAATAACAGACTGAAAGGCATTTAATGCAGGGGCAGCAGCCCAACAAGCACCTATGCCTCAGTAAATTGGGGCTAGGTAATTTCTGTGTTTGTTTTAGGTTTTTCTTAAAGGCCAGATTTTTCAGAAAATGTTAAATTAATTATTTATAGTGTCTACTCTATTGCCAGTCATAATGTACTGAATGCTCTACATAAATTTATTTCATTTTCGTAGTGACTTGGGAGGTAGATGGTGGTATTCTTGCTTTACAAATTACTGAGACTTAAGGACATGTAGGCAGTGCCTAAAAGTACAATTGTGGAATGTAGAAGAATCTGATGCCAGAGAACTGAGTTTTTTCTGTTACTGTATATTATCTCTTTTCCCTGTGATCTAAACGCTTATCCTTCTGAGTCTCTTGAACTGTTTTCACTTTTTAAATGAATTCTTAAGTATAAATTTTTCTTTTTGAAGATACTTATTCATTATTCATTTACTTCTTTCTACTGTGAAGTAAACGCAGACAGTTTCAGGTGTTTGAGATATAGCAGTAAATAAAATAGTTCTGCTGTAGTTTACATTCTACTGGAAGAAAGTAGACACATGAATATGAAAAAAAAAAGGATATGAGAATAGGGAGGGACTGGGACTGGATTATCAAAAGTCTTATCTGATCAAATAAGATCTGTGGGTGAAGATGCAGGAACTGAAGTAGTGTGCTATGTATGTATCTTGGGGAATAACATTCCAGGAGTTAGGAGTTCAGCAAGTTCAGAGGCCCTTAAAACAGTGTTTCTTACTGTGTTTGAGGAACAAAAGGAAACCAGTGTGGCTAGAAAGGAAATGAGCAAGGCAGGAGAGTAGAAAATGGAGAGGTCACAAAGGTAGCCAGATAAGGCTTTCTTCTGAGTGAAATAGCCATTGGAGAATTTTTAAGTAGAGGAATGGACAGACATCCATTAAAAAAAAATTACCTCTGATGGATCAGCTGGTACCTCTACTACTCTCTAGGAGAGTGTTGAATAGAATTGGTAAAAGTAGACAGCCTTACCTTGGTACCAGAAGGGGGTGGTATTCAGTCTTGACCATCAAGGTTTTTTTCCCCTGTGGATGACTTTTATCAGACTAAAAAAATTCTTCTGTATTCCTAGTTTGTGAGGTTTTATATAGACAGATTTCTGTGTTTTGTTGATTGTGTGTTTTTTGTCTTCTGTTCTACTGACATTGTTTTATAGTAGTAAATTTTTGGATAATAAACCCAACTTCATATTTGTAGAGTAAATCTGACTTGGTTGTGTTTTTTTGTTTATTTATTTATTTATTGGTGACAGGGATCAAACTCGGGGGCCTTGTGCTTGTGAGGCATGTGGCAGCACCACTGAGCTAAATTCCTGGCCCTGCAGTATATAATTTTTTAAAAAATGGATACTGGGTTTGATATGCTGAAGGATTGGTTTATAGAATTCTCATAATGTCCTTTGGTTTTGGTAGGAAGGTACTAGTGGCCTCCGGATGAATGAGACTGTTCTCTCCTCTATTTACTGGACGAGTTTATAAAATATTAGTGTTATTCTTCAAATGTTTGATAGAATTCAACACTGAAGCCATGTGACCTTGGACTTTACTTTGTTGGAAAATAATTACTGTTTCAGTTTTTCCTTGCTTATAGGTCTACTTAGATTTTCTTTTCTAGGAATATGTCTTTCATGTAAGTTTTGAATTTATTTTCTTCTAATATTTACAGTACTTTGTTAAAATCCTTTCCGTTTCTGTAAGATCAGTGATAATACCCCCCTTTCATTCCTGGCTTTGGTAATTTGTATCTTTCATCTTTTTTTTCATGGGGCAGTCTAGCTAAAGGTTTATCAATTTTGTGGATCTTTTTGGAGAACCAGTTTTTGGTTTCATTGTTTGTTTGTTTTTTTAAATTCCATTTATTTCCTCCTATAATCTTTTTTCCCCCATTAAATTTCTACTATTTGGGTTTGGTTTGCTTTTCTATTTTTAGTTACTGATTTTTGAGGTGCTACACAGCCCAAACTTAGGCAGACTTCTTCAGGTTTGACTAAAGTTGTTGGCTGTCAGTATACTGTCAGTTTGCTCCTTCTGATGTAGTAGCCTCTGGTGAAGTATTTAGATCCTCCTAGAAGGCCCACTTCAGAAACAGTAACGATAACCAGTGGTCTACATTACCCATAGAGAAGGACCAAGGGCTATAGTGCTTGCCATCCTGGATCCTGCCTGCCCCAAGTCAACACTGGACAGGCAATGGAGCAGTCCCGAGCCTTGAACTGGAGTTATGGGGTGATGGCACATGACAAACCAGAGCTTTCCAGCTTCTGAGAAAAATTGACAGAGAGCTACAGGAGACAGCTGCCCACATCATGGACTTCACAAATTTCTGAATGATTTTTAGGGCCTTGACCTCTGTTGCTTGTTATGAATGAAATTCTAAGTGGAGATTTAATTCCATTAAAGAAGAAAGGTTTAAAGTGCAGGTCCCATAGGGAAGTAACATTAAGGTGGGAAGAGCTCTGAGCAGTGCTTGGGCTTACTAGTTACTTTCATCTTTAAACAAGAATAGAAGTTTCTGTCCAGCATGCTGTTTAAGGCACATTATAAGTAAGTACTGTATAAAGCCATAAGGTGTTGTACAAATGTAAATGACTATTAATGTTAGTAATTATAGTGCTAGGGACCTAAAATAGTCTGAGCAGGTCCAAGAGCTGTAGCAGTACATCATCATCCTTCAAGGTATAGGTGGTTTTTTGTTTGTTTGTTTGTTTGTTTTTGTACCGAGGATTGAACCCAGGACCTTAATGCTTGTAAGGCAGGCGTGGTGTCAGGGAGCTAAATCTCCAGCCCTCCTTCAAGGTATAGGAATGAACATCTGACCCAAGTGGGATCTGTAGCTTCAAAGGACAGGAGACCCATTATCTGCCAGTATAATCATCAGATAGTGTCTAGAGAATTAGTGGGGAGAATCTAAGGAAAACTGCCAGGCAGCTCATATAAGAAGCAGCTGTCCCTATTTACTCCACACCCAGGAATTCTGGCCACATCTTATTACTTTGGTTCCAGAAACAGCTGGCTCTTTCTTGAAGGTTGGTAGCACAGAAAAGCAATAAAGTCCAGTTTGCTTTGGGAGAAAAAGTGGCAAACAAAAGGCTCTGGCCTCTTTGGGTCCCCCTACTTCCCTCCCCTTTTCACTAAAACTAAAGAGAATCTTTCTTGCT